TATTTCAAAATAGACACACAGTGTCACTTCTGAATACAGGGTAACGAGGCTGTTAGGACCACATCACCTGTGTCCTGGCAACATCATGACCTAGGTGTTCAACTGCTGAAAGGGATAAATACAAGCCACTTGCACTTTTATGTGTCATTTTGTAATTACCCAGGAAATCTATTTAAACCTTTTAAAATGGGACGAGTCCTTTTGTTTTACTTTTACAAATCAATTTTCCATGTCTCTTACACATTGGCTATTCATGTCATGCTGAGTGCTTATACATAGTGTGACGAGCTTTGTGGGGCAGTGGCTACTGGGGTACAAAGTATAAAGACATTATTTTCACATAAACATTCTTTTAATAATGTCACTGAATTTATTTCAGAGTTTCCTAGAAGAGGTTGTTGTCTTAAGTGCCAGCAAAATAAACAGAGATCTGCTTATAATTTGAGCATATAACCTAAACTCTCCAAACTCATTTTATAAGCTAGAAATAATAATATGATGTTTACAAAGTCATTACTATAAAGTTCAAACTATGCTTTTTGCATGTCTCAAACAGACTGCCCACTAATATGAACTTAATGTTGTTATTATTTATTATTATTCACATCTTTTATTCACCACATGCAAGAATATTTATAAAAGTATAAGGATTCACTGAGAATGTACCAGGAGGGACAAGTGGTCTTTCTGAGGCCCCTATTTTTAGTGTGTTTAGTCAGAAATGTTAGGTGCTACTTTGAACTGTTATCCTTATGTATCTGACTTTTGGAAACTTGAGTAAGAATTCTTTATTTTCTCATCTCAGTAGAACTCAGGTTGATTTTAGAGAATTTTAAAATAAAAACAATTTCTCAAGCGACAGCAAATTTCTTTTTTTTCACTTTAGGAACTGGTGGAGAGTCAAGCCGACTGCTTGACATCAGAATGCAACAAGAAAGCTGTCCTTTCTGTTCTTAAAACAGAACAGCCCATCAGTAGGGAAGTTTCACCCCATCTGTTAGACATGTTTGATGTCTTAGAGGTAGGAAGAAGTGGGGGTACATACTGCATTAACTCATATTGCTATTGCAACCTTCACAGTGCCATCCACATGTTCATTCAGAAACTTCTAACATTTCCCCTCTTCAAGGATTTCAGAAGCTAGGTTCTTGGCATTTTAGTGAGTTTGGGTATGGGAAGAATATGGGCCACTCCAATGTTCCAGACTTGAAATTTCCTAGCCTAGATATCTGTCATTTCCAGTAGCCTGGGAGATGGTGTTCACAATGGATGAAAGGATACACTGATTCACTTTGTAAAGTACTCTTAAGTGATTAAAAATAACAAGGAGAATGTAAATTTTAACTTTGAGCAAGCGTTACATTTCATATAAAGTTTAACCCCCACAGATATACCCAAGTATAAGGTGAGTCTTTCCTAGATCCTCGCCCTCCTCTGATTCCACTTCCCTTTCAAGTCCAGCATCTTGAGAAATGGATCTACAGTTCCACTTTCTCTTTCAACACACTTTTTAACCACATGTGGTCTTTACTTTTACTAAAACAGGGCCTGGATTTTTATGTACTCATTTGCTTCCTATTATTTCAGAAAGATTATTATACGTTGGGATATCTGTAAATATATTTTATGTGGCACAAGGTATGTAAAGGAATTTTAGGGTATATGTATTATTAAAGACGTCGTTGGAAAATTTTTATCTTTCAAAATAGGCTTAAGAATGATCAGCAATTTTCTCTGCAATTTATTTTTCAAACCAGCTAGTTTATCCACACAATTGTTTACAGTTAGTTGGGTCTCCAGTTATTCAGAGAGATAAAAATATTACAATTTTTATGTTTTACTTTCATATAAGGGGTTACAAATCTTTGCCATAATTCTTACCTGAAATTTAGATAAAAACATTAAGAAATTTTTGGTGGATTCCTGATATGAATAGAAAAATGGATTTACAGAGACTATTAGAGGCTGGAATTTGATGTATTTATCAACATACTTATTGTGATTGTAGTAATGTGATATACCATAAACATGAGCCTGAATATTTATTTCTAAATTTATGTACATGATGCTGCTCACCCTAGCCTACTAGAGGATTTATTAATAAGCAGGGAAGGGATATTTGAAGAAAGGGTTTGGGTGCAAACTTCCACTTGTGGTCAATTTACCTAATGCTCAAGGTCTCCATTTTCTTCCCCTGAAGGAAAAGGAACTAATGGGGACCTGGGGTTTGCACGCTTCTTTTATAAACATGTCATAAATAACTTTATACCTGTCTTATGTTTTTATACAGTGTTAAATAATTTCACACCAACAATTTATTAAGCCCTGAATGACTTTTTTTGTGTGTGTGATGTGAAAATAAGCTTGGATCAATTTTATTTTGGATGTGGGTATCTGTTCCACTATTGAGTTGTTTTTTTTTTTTTAATTTTTTTTTTACAATTAAAGTTACAGTTTTAACAATATGCAAAATATTACAGTAATTCAGATTTTTTGGCATAATGATTACAGATTTGATAAATACATTTTATATCTCATAATAGCGATGAGGATTATACAAAAGAATGACTTTTTAAATGTAGCTTTTAAGTGTATTAACATTTAACTAAAAGAAAATAGCATGAAAAATAGCTTACATACTTGAGCAGAGTAAAACACAGTCCTTTAATTTTATAGGTAACATGGTAGATGGCACACACACACACACACACACACACACACACAAGGCATGCACTGTATATAGCAAATGCACATACATATATGCACACACATGTACATATATATCAATACATATATACACACATGCACTTATATTCACAAACATACAATATATACACATTCACTTATTCATACATATTTACATGCATGTAAACACATATACACTTATTTACAAAGACATGTATATTTAGGGTACTTCCACTATAGAACTACTCAAAAAAAATACTAAAAGTTGATGACAGCAGAACTTTTTTCTTGATATTGTTGTCAGGTATAATCACACCTTTTATTTTAAAATCACAGATATGAGTTAGAATTAGCACGAACAAAGTTGAAATGGGAAAAAAATGATCACCAAGAACACATTCTATATAACCAATGTCGGTAGTTATAACATGGGGTCAGTGGGACAGCCTTACCTCAGTGGGCCATCATACAGGAACCATGCAGGTACTGAGGGAGGAACATCAATCAATGGTCCAAACCCCATTTTAAGGCCTAATAACCACAACAATGACCAGTGCAGCAAACTATATTGGGGCAGTAGCGGTACTTTAATCTTGAGGGTAATCAACATCTACCTAATTGGACCTAAAGTCCACCCAATGAGAGGGATCTCACGTGTGGTACTGTAAATCTGGTTGGAGAGGTCATAGGTCTTAGAGAAAACCCCAAGTCTGTCATATCCCTAGACATATAATTTCTTACTATGTGCTAAATATGGATCCTTGTATTTACAGATGTGTAGTATATGCCAGTCACCACTTATCAAAGACGTTTCCTTTACAACAAACTAAGACTATAACATCGTTCTACAAGGGTCATGCACAGAGATTAAGTATGTCTGAATTGCCCAACCCTAAGTGACACATCACAATGAACCTCTACACCTAAGACTCATGGAACATAGTGGGACAAGGAAAGAATATTGATGTGTCTCTCCACTCTTGTCAACAAAGCTCCCTCAAGCAACAGAGCAATGATCCCAGGGCTCAGGGACCATTGTGGGAGAGGGGGCAGAAAGACTGCAAGAACCAGGGGAGGAAGTGCATGACCATATGGAAATAGAGTCTTACAGTCTCTGGGACCTTGCTCATATGAAATTACAGCAATGGTGACAGCATGTACAAGACCTATGCAAACTCTAGCAGACAAAACCCAGCATAGAATTATTGGAAATGGGCAGCAGGACCCAATTTTACCAGAAGAACTAATGGGCAGCTGATTGCTACTCACCGCGGAAGAGCTGATCTTCTTTAAGGGAATGACTCTAGTGAGGCTGACTAGACCCCAGTGGATGAACTCGCACTGAGGGCCAGCAGGGGACACTTACTTGACTCAGAGGCCTTAACATAAATGACAGAATGCATGAAACCCAGTGGGGTGGGATATGGGAGAGAGCCAATGGGGAAGCGGATAAAGATAATTAAGATGTTATATATGAAATACACAAAAATTTAATTAAAAATTTGGAGGTAAAAATTATCATATGTATAGATTATCTCATTTATATTAATACAATTTATTTTTGTATTTGTCTGCATTAAGCATAGGAAGGGTTACTTTGGAGATGTTTTCTTGCTTAATGTTCTAACAGAAATTGATATATGAGCCACTGCTTAAAAAAAAATCAGAGAGATACTGAGTAAAAGGAAGATAAATTACAAAATAACTTATTTTTAATAAAAGTAGTAAAATTTCTATTAAAATATTTTATAAATTTTGTCAACATTTCCTTATAAAATTGGTTGTTGTTTATATTCAAACTTTCTGGATATCACAGAGATTAATTTTTAAATTTAACAAGTAAACCCAGCATGGTCACTTACTCTTGTAATCCAACACTCAGGAAGCTGAAGCAGACAGAGTTCCAGGCCAGCCCCGGCTGCAGAATGAAGCTGTTTCAAAACACTAAAGAACTAATCAACCCGAAGTAACTATAAACCAGCAGATTCTCACAAAGATAATTTCTTCCAGTATCTAGGGAATCCACATCATAAATATGAAGACATGCCGCTGTGTGCCTCACAATAAACATAAATATCTCTGTCAGTAGGCATGTATTGAATTCACACAACACACTCCATCCTCAGAAAGAAAAGCTGGTCATTTGAATTTTCCTATAGCAACTTGAAATTCCGTAATGATATCAGAAGTGATCATCAGATGCATTTTCTAATATCAGTTCTCAAAATATGTTCTTAGTACTTCTAGACACGCTGGTCCACATACACAGTTTTATACCACACAGTTAATCATAAACATCAGCAAAGGGCACAGACCTCGTTCACTGTGGCATAGTAGCTCTCGTGCTTGAACGTGGGTGAGTTGTCGTTCCTATCCCGCACTACGATGCGCACTTCATGATAGATGACGGTGCCCACCTTCTTGTTTACACATTGGACTTGCACCACAATGGAGTGTATGTTCATCGGTGGCTGCAAGTGAGAAATGTATTTTCTTAAACATGACTAAGATCAGCTTCTGATCACAGTTTCTGAACACACTGATCACTCAACATCACTTTACTTACTTGTTGACTTTAAACTATAGGATGCTCGAGAAACAAGAAAATGCTGCGCTAGTTTACAAAGATAATCATAATTATTTCATTATTTAATTCCACACCTAAATACATAGGGTTTCAATTACCATTATGATCATAGAGCTTTGCTGATAAATAAAACCATAAAACCAATACTGAAATTGATTTGAATGAAACAAATTTTTTCCTTACAAAGTCTGAAGAGGAATGACACAAACTAAAATCTTTAGAAAAGAATGTAATAAGTTCTTTGGAGGGGATGAGAGACTTTATAACTTTTTGTTCGTTTATATATTTATTAGAATATTAGATGCTCATGAATAGTAAAAGTAAATGTAATCAAAAGAACAAAATCCACTCACTACCCAGCTTTCTTGTCTCTTACAGCATCTCGTTTCCTGAGCAGACTCGCCACTGCATTGTGCTGTTTGCTGCTATGAAATAATGCCTGTCATTTGACAGTTCTCAGTCCAATGACCAAACCATAGCTAGCTTGTCCATGGATAACTTTTAATGAAATACTTCATGATTTAAATTTTTAGCTTTATGACTCATATCCCAGCATACAGTTCTTATAAATTCATGCTCACTTGCCTAATTGCTTGAACTTTGTGGGAAAGTATTGAAGGGGACTACTTATTCATTCTCATCGTTAAGGGCTAGCAGGGGAGGAAGGAAAACTTACATGTGCTTGACTCTAGTCATCACTGAACACTACATCATTTTAAAATTTAGTTTTTCATTGTCAAGGTAATCAAACATTCTCTCTAAATCTCATTTTATCAGAAGAATTCATAGGGGAGAGTCCTTCTTACATACTACGTCTCTAACCTGCCCCATCCTGCCAAATTCTACAATTACGTTTTCTTTACTTCATCGCTCATCTACAGCTTGATGTATTCTGCAATCATATGTTTGCTTCAGTGTGTGTCCCTTGGTGAGAATCTAAGTCCCATAAACCTCGAGCTACTTTGCTAGTATGAAACATAGTTGTTTATCTAGTAACTGACTTGTGCCTAGGACAGACGAATAGGCACTATCAGAGTCGAATGATCTCAATGCTAGTCCTGTTTTCATGAGTACAAATTGCATGATCCAGGAAAGTTAAAAATTCTCCCAATGCTCAACTCTTCAATATGGACAATGGAAAACCCAGTGATACTAACAGAACTCAAGTTACTACATGGGATTCTCCTGTGTTGAGCTCTTATTAAAACACCTAATACATGTAATCATTGTTTTATTCATAAAATCTCAAATTTTCATCACCTTAAATTTTATTATTTGCTTAGGTGAATTCATTAAGAGTTATTTCTTCTCACTTTACAGACATTTAACACACCCATTTTACTCGCCCTGTCTACAAATCCCCAGAATGTCCTCCTATCCATTGCACTGGCCAGTTAGGCCTTCTCCCCACTCTCCACCATGTGCCCCCATCACTGATAACCTCTTGTGCAGACTTCTACAGATGTGTACATGAACCAAAGTACTACATTTTGCCTCAAAAATATGAGTACGCAGTATATGTCAATCAAAGTTAATTAAATAAAGTGTAAGTAGTGTGAAAATCAGAGGGAAATGTATTAGCTCGAAAACCTATGAAAAACACACATACAATATCTGAACATGAGTGCACATGCACACCCAAAGGCTATATAACAAGGAACACAGTGACAGACAAGAGAAACTTCCCATTGAGCTGTTGGTCACAGGCTCTCCAAATTACAAAGGGTACTGCCACAGCCCTTGATTACCCCCCAAACTAGAAGGTATTGATTACACTATTGCTGAAGACGGGGCATAATTTGGACATGGGGCTTGGAACAATGGGGCTGGAAATGACCTAGAAGCCTTTGCCCTGAAGACTAGCTCTCATAGTTCTAGAAGATATTATGTAAGCTGCTAAGGGAGACAATCAATCAATGGTCCAGCCCAGCTGTAAAGCCTAAAAACCACAATGATTGGCACAGCAAACTATATTAGTGTAGTAGTGGAACTTTTATCTTGGGGGTAATCAACAGCTTCTAATTGGACTTAAAGTCCTCTCAATGGGAGAGAACTCAAATGGCATCTGTGTCAAAATACAGATGCCTGGAGAAGTCATAGATCCTAGAGAAAACCCTATTTCTGTCACATCTCTAGACAAATGAAATTTCTTATTGTATGCTAAATATGGATCCTTATATTTACAGACACATATACCTACACCACTCATCAGAGAAGCTACTTTTTGCAACAAAGGAGTCTATCACTAAGTTCCAAAACTGGTCATCCACAGACAATATATGTCTGAGAGATGCCCAGCCCTAAATGACACATCTATAGCAGAACCTCTACACCTAAGGTTCATGGAACATACCGGACCAGAGGCTAGAGAGAATACTAACACATCTGTCAACTTTTACCTGCAAAGCATCCTCATGAACCAGAGTGTGATGCACAGAGAAGGCCACAACTGGCCAAGGTATATAGAACAAGAATCTACAGCCTGCATGTTCTGAACAGAATTCCTATATTAAACCTCATGGCTCAGAGACCATTGTGGAAGAGAGGGTGGAAATATTATAAGAGCCAGGGTTGATACATGAGCCTCTTGAAACTTGTTAATAGGAACTCACAGCCATGGTGACAGCATGCACAAGACTCATGGGGACACAATCAGACAACAACCCAGCATAGAACTGGGGAAATGGGCAAGAGGCCACAACCTTAACGGAGAAAGGATTGGCAGCTGATTACTGCTGAGTGAGGGAGAATTGATCTTCTTTAAGGGAGTGACTCTAGATGGGCTGACCAGGCTCCAGTGGATGAACTTGCACCAAGGGCCATCTGGTACAAAAGCTTGACGGGATAGGCCTTGACAAATATGACAGAATACAGGAAATCTGGTGAGGGGAGTCTGGGGGTGTGTGGATGAGAGAGGGCATTCAAATTTGATCAAGATTCATTATATGAAATCCACAAATTTCAATAAAAATACACATTAAAATTTAATTAATATGCTTAATTCTTAAGTATTAAAGAATGGAATCTATAAAATATAAACTAATAATTATGGATTATAAGACAAGTTACCAAGTTTTGGGATCAAACCAATTTATTTATATAGTGATGATCACTGGGGTTGAGGACAGTGCCATTTAAATAATTGCATGTCATACCTGGAGAGAAGAATGCTGCAGAAAATGTGTCTAAAGTGCAGCAAAATGCGTTTAATGACAAGACGCTTTCATGGACAATAATGCAAAAGAGAAAAGAATCGATATGTATCTGTCTGAAAAACCGTACCCAGAAAGATTAAATGGAAGCCTCCCTCGAATACAGACAGCGATTTCTATGAAAATGCCACGTAACTCTGTGTTTGGATATCTAGCTGACATCAATGAAGACAGTAAAATCATGTTTATAAACATTGTGAGTGTCAACAAAGTTCCGGAAAACAAATAAAGACTCTAACAGAGGACAAAGACGCCTTAATCATTCACAATAAATAATGCTACAGATTTTCAATAATAAGTGGAAATCCCCAAATTTGATTGAGAAACAAATCAGTGAAATACTCTAATATATGTATTAGGCATTAGTGTGAGCATAAGCTGGTGAAGCTTTGATAGCTAAGCACTATCCCTACATGCCAACACTGTAAATTGGAGGTTGGAACATGAATCTCAACCTTACACTCATTTCTCCTAAAAGATGCATAAAATTCAGATTATAGGAGACAATACAGTAAACAGGACATGAGCTAGAATACTCTAAGAATTTTTGATAAATTTGAGAAGGAAAAGACAAAATTTGTCAGATCTAATAACTTTATGAAGAAAAATTTTTGTTCATGCATTACATCTTAAGAAAGCAGAACAATGAATAAAGTGCATATTTTCAAGCAATTTGAGGTCTTTTTTAAAATAAAGTAACAGAACACAACAGAGATCTGTCCTGAAAACCTGCAGACTGAACATACAAGATTTTAAAGGACTGAATTGCAAGGCATTCCAGAAAGAATTTAAGGTAAAAGCCCCCGTGTCTACTTCCAAATTATACGTATTTGCGTTAATAGACCTTTAAAAGAAGATTCTGTTCATTTTAATCATAAAGTAAAAACAGAATAAATACATGTACTCTTAACCTTGCCACACCTCTTGGGAGATAATCAGGTGAACTGCGTCCTTCTGAAGTTATTTTTCTTTTAATATTTCAAGAGAGGTCTCTCAAGTCCCTCCATTTCAACTTGCAGGTGAAGGGGAGGCAGTGGCACAGAAGGTCAGAGGCTTCCAAGTAGAAGATCAGATTCGGCATGCGTATGTCCCCCACTTAGTTCCGCTAAGAACCCGTAGGTTAGGCATAACCAGGACATCTGGGACTGCTGTCACTCCCAGGTCTACCTCATTGTGCAGCTCTTACTAGTGTAGATGGAACTCAGCAGGCAGCAAATTCCAACCACAATGGATTTTGCTGAAGGGAAGAATTCCCTGTGGCTAATATATACTGTACACTATAATTTTGTATCGGAATAAATTCTATTCTCCTGTACAGGGAGATCATAAACACATCAAATGTAGTTGCACTAAGTCGATTAGTCAGAGTTTAGGGACTCCACAATGCTTATGGATGTGTCAGGAAATTTTTGGTTTAGTTTTCACAACTGGTGTTGAAAGTCAGTCATGGTAAATTTTTGGAATTTTTTTTCATTTTAGTTCCCTTTAACTGTTTTATTCAAGAAACAACAAAACATATATAAATTTGGGGGGGGCTTATTTAAAACAATTACAATTCTGAGGCTGGAGAGATGGCTCAGCAGTTAAGAACACTGGCTGTTCTTACAGAAGACCCGGGTTTGAATCCCAGCACCTACATGGCAGCTAAGAACTGTCCGTGACTCAGTTCCAG